GGGAGAGGGAGAAAGGATCTAACAGGAAGGGGAGAGGGAGAAACGATGGACGGAGGGGCCAACAAAGGAAGAGAAGGAGGGAGAAGTCAGGATGGGAGTCGGGAGAGGTTGCGATGGAAGTCGGGAAAGGGAGGAGACAAAACGACGAAAAGGAGGAGGAGGAAGAAGGTTTTTTTTTTTTTTTTTTTTTTTTTTTTTTTTTTTTTTTTTTTTACGGAGAAAACGAGAAAGAGGGAAGCGAGGAAACGTTGGCACCACGCCAGCAGGGGTTGAGGGGAGAGAAGTCGCGATGGCAATCGCGAAAGGTCGGGATGGGAGTGAGGGACGGAGGGAGAAGTCGGGACGGGGAGGGAGAGAGATCGGGATGGGAGTCAGGAGGAGGGAGGGAGAGGGGGAAGAGATCTAACAGGAACCGTCGGGATGGGGAGGGAAAGTGATCGGGATTGAAGTCGGGAAGAGGAAGAACATCGGAAAAGTTTTTTTTTTTTTTTTTTTTTCCCCCCTTTATTTCGTGCACATACACACCAACATCTTGATAACATCTGAAGCGAGGCGTTGCGAGCAGAGGTCGACGCGAAGAAGGCAACCATATCAGAATGAAGGACACAGGATAGTGATTGAGATAGCCCCCCCCTCCTCATTTCTCACAATCTTTGCTCTTCTCGCCGCGGGCGGAGCCGCGGCGGGTCCGCTTGTTTTTTTTATTATTTTTTCTTTCTACGACCATTTTTGCAGCCATTGCATCGTTGTATGCAGCCCTGTCTGATGCACAGCCAAAAACAGATCAATAGCGGTTTTCTGTGTTTGCCCACTGCTCGCGTCCAGATTCAGCCAAGTACATAACAGCCCCGCGCCCAAAAATAGATCAATCTCTCTGGGTCTAGCTGCACTACTCATGAGTCATGACTCGTGAAAAAAAATCAAGACAGCGGCATGAGTTGTCCGATTCCCGAAATGGCCTAGAGTTCCGTCGTGGCTGCACTTACTCAAGATAGGGCGTCGTTCGACACACCTCAGGGCGTCCTCGGGCTCCGAGGACGAATCCTCGGAGCAATTTTTGATTTTCGGAGGTGTTGTTCCACATCTCCTCGGAGAAATGCCCCGAGGACGAATCCTCGGGGCCCTCCCGCGAGAGGAATGTCCGGCCTCCGATTCGGGATGTCCGTGTAGCAGTCGTGGTGGTTTAAAACGCGGACGGTGGGAAGACGTCACGGGCCCTTGGAAAATAAAACGCCAACGCGGGAAAATCCCCTTTCAAAATTCGAATTCTGAATTTTGATGTTGCGGAGCGACGTGGTGGCGGCGCACAGGCGGGTCGGCCAGGGGCCAGCCTACGCCGCGCAGGGTTTCGTTTGCCATCGCGTTGCGTATTTCAGCGGCGCCGCACCGCCAGTGCGTCAAGTGTGGTCGACGCGACGAAACGAAGATGTCCGGTAGGCAGTCGCGTTCGCCACGTGCAAGCGCCGCGGTGGTGGGTGGACGTCAGCGGTGGTGGGTGGACGCTCTAATCGGAATTGCGTCGTTGGGCCGGGCTGTCTTCCCGACATGGTTGCAGGCGTCTTCAACACATGGCGACATACGTGCACAAGGTTGGCGGCGGTGGACGTCGTTTTTTGTCTACGAAGGACGTGATGGACGGCTGCGATGCACCCTGACGCTGTGCCACGGACGCACCCACGTGTCAACCGTCCTCGTCTCTCACTTCTTGCGCCGCAGGCCCGCTGCCAATCCATTCCGTGTTTCGCGGCTTCCGCCGCGTTCTTCAGGGCCGCGTTGTGGCCGAACACCAACCCGCAGTCACACCATTCCGGAATGCAGTGCGGGTATTCTCCCAGCGTGAGGTGGGCCTTTCCTATACGATCCAAGACGAGGTTCGCGCTGTTGACGATGTGTCGCCGCCAGTTGAAGATGTACGACCCCGCCGCTATCATTGTCGGTTTGGGGACCAGGGACAAGTAAAGGCACGCCTCGTAGTGCGAACGGTCGTCGTCACCCCCCATGCGCATGATCCACATGCACGCGCTCAACAACGCTCGAAGACAGTCCGCAAGCCTAGACAACCTCTCCTATTTCACGCGCCCGTCGTCCGCCCATTGTCCACACCACAGTGCGTCTGTCCAGCACTCAGCGATGCGAAGAACTGTCGCCTCCTGCCGCGCCGCCATGTCGTCGTCCTCTGGCCGATCCACAATCTTCACCCCCGCGAACCACAGAGGCACGTCCATCTTCAGCGCCATAGTGTGGTACACGAGTGCAGGGGACACCACGTTCGACCATTCCTGCCCCTGCCAGACTGCTCGTGCGATGTCTGTGGCAATGTCGACACAGATGTACGACTCTGCACGAGTAAATCCAACCGACCACGACGACGATTTGAAGATCCAGCCGTGGATGGCGCTCAGCACCAGTTTCTCGACGTTGCACGCTCTGCGCAGAGCCGGTTCACGCTGCGCAGGGTCGTCGATCTTGAAGCGTGGCACGTCGTTCGGCGGCAGTATGAGCATCGTAGGCATTTCAGCTCCCGCGTCTCAGTTGGGGATTGCGATGAAGTAGTCCGCGCACTCGCCAACCGCCTCCCTCAAGGGTTTCCCCGGTCCCTGACCCCAGAAAGAGTCGCAATCAACCCACAACTTCGATCTTTCCTCCAGACCATCCTCCTTTGCGGCTCCCTTCAACCTCGTCACAAGTGGACGGTCGTCGTCGTCGTCGCCCTCCCGCTTTCCGTCTCTTCTTCCCTCGTCGTGGCGGACGTCGTCTACCCTCTCCTCGCCTGCACCTTCGGCGACTCCGGTTCTACCACTGCGATCCGCCGCCGCCGTCCTAGTGCCGATCGCCGTTGCATCGCCCTTTTGCGCGGCCTGTGCTTCCCCCCCCCCTGAAGCCCCCAGCTGTTGCAGTGGAAGTGCCGGACGTGGCTGGCCCAGCCCCGTCGCCACGGGAAGTTGCCTCGGGACGCGCACCTCCGTCATGACAACCCCTGCCGCCTTCGGGGTCCTTTGCGACACCCCGGCAGCACCAACAGCAATGCTCTGCTTCACAGCGGACACCTGTGCCCTCGTCAACCCATCTCACCCGAAACCCAATCGCGGCGCCGCTGAAGTACCTTGCGCGTCCACCATGACCACTTCTTCTGGCTGGAAGTCTGCAGTGTGCTCGGAGCTCGACTCTTCAACGCGCTGCCTTTTCGGCTTAGGGATGTGCCCTCTGCCTCTCTTGGTTTCCCCCTCGTCGCCCGCCCCGCTATTTTGCCTGGCCTTCGCTGATGCGTTCCTCGGGGCCATGTCGTCCGCAACTCGGCAACGACAAACACGTGGACGAAGGAGCGCGTCGACGAAGGAGCACGTGGAAGTACGACGCTTGAAGATCGACGACGGCCACGTCGACGAAGGAGCACGTGGACGATGCGCAGTCGTGGTGGGCAGGAGCCGCGACGATGATGGCCACAGAAAAAAGAGCACGTGCTTGCGACGCGTGAGGGGGGACTGCACGCGGTGCACAAAGCTTGAGAGTGGAGGCGCAAAGGGCGGGGAGTGCTGGCTTGCTGCGAGGAATCAGTGATCAGACGACACCGTCGGAGACGTGGACAATAGAGTACTGCGTACGGACTGCGGCCCGGAATTTCCTTTTCAACGCGTGCGCCAACGCCGCACATCGTGTACACGCCACGCCGTCCACAATAGCCCGCCCCCTGGCCGATCATACACGGACCGTTTTTTTCCCGAAGGCTTGTGGTGATCCGTCGTATGGCCAACAACGCGTGTGGGCGCGCAGGAGGACCATGGTGGAGGTCAAAAGACCCCGGCACGTGTCCGTCGCCCGCCACCCCCCATAAAATCACACAGGAGGACCATGGTTGAGGTGCCCCTGTCCTCCATTGTCCCCTCCCACCCAAAAAAAAAAAAAAAAAAACACCCTGCCACCCATTCCTTTATCCGACAGCAAACCACCTCCC